CCACGAAATCTGCACTTCATCTCCGCCACCCGCGCCTGCCACGAAACCTTTCTCCTAGCTTTTCTGCTAACTGCACCAAACTGTTGTGATAGTCTGACACCTACACTATTCCAATGCAAATCTGTCTACCTATCCATTTGTCTGTCTATATCTATTTATCTATCTCTCGATCTATCTTTCTTTCTTTCCTACCTATCTATCTGCACTTCAACATCCACAAAGTCCTGCACCTGCCACGAAATCGAAATCGGCACTTCAAGGCCCGCAAAGCACTGCACCTGCTACGAAATCTGCATTTCAAGGTCTACAAAGTCCTGCGCCTGCCACGAAATCTGCACTCCAAGTCCCACAAAGTCCTGCACCTGCCACCAAATCTGCACTTCAACATCCACAAAGTCCCGCGCCTGCCACGAAATCCGCACTTCAACATCGACAAAGTCCTGCGCCTGCCACGAAATGTGCATTTCAAGGTCCACAAAGTAGCATTTCAAGGTCCACAAAGTACTGCCCCTGCCACGAAACACGAAAAACAAAAAAAACATCTCAAAACAAAACAAAAAAATCCTAAATTAAATCCGAGCCCGTTTATAAAACATGTTTAAATCCATATGGGGATCTTGAACTTAGAACATACCAAAGTCTCATGTCAAACTCCCCAGATAGTGGAGCACACCCAACTCTGGAAGTCTCCCATGTTGCGTAGTGTAGCTGGCTGTGCCATCGCTTTTAGCTCTAAACGAGACTTAAACTACAAATTATGTCATAGAGTAAACGCAAACATTGTATATGCGCATTGTGAAGGCATTGTGACATGGAGAGTGTGTGTATGCATGTGTATACACACATGGACAGCTTGCATTGTGAAGACAAGTCTTTGTGCAAGCTGCTCAAAGCCAAGAACAGTGAACCAACAGCGGTGCAAGCATGCTTAGAACATCGCGTTGCAAATTGATTGATTGCCAAGTATGAACATGATGTTTGAAATCCACGTGTTCTCAGTCTTGGGTTCTAAGTGTGTGGTTGGGTTCTAAGTGTGTGGTTTTTGAACCACATGTTCTACTTCGTTCTGATTTGTTGTTCTAGTCTGGTGTGCTTAGAGCACCCATGTTTTGTTTTAATGACGTTCTAAGTCGTTGTCTACCACTATATACGTTATACACTCGATACACTGGTCTTCCAAGCACGGCACCGAGATACCTGTAGCCATCGGCAATCATACGTTTTGACAAGTAAGATGAAACATGATGAGGTCTGGCTTTTACGGACCCTCACATGTGGTTTTCAGAAAATCACACTCCTCATCCTCCTCTCCCGGATTCTTTGGAGACAAGTCTGGTGGGCGGCCATCCTGGCGGGGTCCACACGAACGGAGCCGCCGTGTGCGGCCGTCCTGGC